AGTCTTAGAGCAATCGCCTCTGCATTGTATACATAGTTCAGTATTGTATAATAACTGTAAAAAATTAAGCTGACTATCACGTATCAAGTACAACTTTATAGTCAAATCGCACATTTGAAATTTCTTCCCTCACATTTTTTTGCTTTTTTTTTTATTATTTTTTTTTTTTAATAAATCCGACTGCACAGATTTCACTTATCACGGGTTCTTTTTGGAACGTAACCCCCGCGATAAATGAGGGATTACTGTACATTAAATGTCTAATTTTAGAATTATGCTGCTAAACCAAGAGGTACTCAAGCCGTTTTTTTTTTCACTGTTCTACAGCAATGACAATAAATAACCTATTCTCTTCTATTCTATACCACATTCCTGTGAGGCCCTTGTTGTTTGCTCTGCGCAAGTTATTTATTGCCTTGGCTTAAAGGTAAAATAGAAAGAGATTTAAAGCTTCTGTTGAACACATACTTTACTTAAATGTATTATCGTAGAGCCTGTCATCTAGCTGAGCAGCTATGTCTACAAACCACAAATAACACTTGCAAGAAAGTTATTTTATATTATTGCTATTAGCTCTATTTTATTCACACAGTATTTTTTTTGGGGGTGGGGGTTCTCAAACCAAAATAAGTACGACTGAAATGAAGCGGTATACTTTAATAAGTGAACTTTCACTTGCGAAATTGGTGTCAAACCTGTTATTATTGGACATTTTAATGGATTGTGCTGCAACAGCACACTTGATTGATTTTATACTGGGGTGTGTGTTTCACCTTTGAACCTGTCCCTGTGATCAGAAAACAGTGCCATTTCTTCTGCGTAGCTGTGTCTTCTTCCACATTTAAGTGGATCAGGTTCCTCCTCCTATGCACGCGCACACACACGCACACACACACACACACACACACACACACACACACACACACACACAGAGTTATTAACAAACTAACTTACACATAATTGCCCATTGGCTTGCTGTCTGTTTTTCCAGCGATCCGCTGGCTGTGTTGGCAGGTGTAGTGGCATATGCCGTTTTCAGTATCACGCATAACTAATCTGCTCAGCTTTCAGGTCTCACCGAATCTGAGCTGAGTGCCAGAGAGGAGGCTGCAGGCTCGTGAGGCAAGGAGAGAGGAGCCGGTTGGCTGATCACCACGGCGCTCGTCTCCATCTCCCGTGGGGAGGGAGGAGGGGTGCTAAAGAGCGACAGGCTCGGCCGTCCCTGCTCGCACAGGCCGTAGTTTCCCAGCGGGGCGGTTGCAGCGAAAGACTGCAAGGCCCCCGGGTCGCGATCCTCCGACGCATCGGACAAGTCTGACGAAGCGTCGTCAGCGAAGCCTAGACCACGGGAACACAAGCACAGAGCGCCGCTCCAGTCAGACCGCTCACAAGCCGTTCCGAAGGCTATTTAGTGTTGTCGTTGAATGAAAGTTAACACTTTTACTGTTCCCATCTGCGGGGCGCTGGGCAGATTAATGTGGCTTCATTCACCTGTGGAAGCGGCGGGGGGAGCGCTCCACTTGGCACTGGCTGCCGTTCCCATCTTTTGCTCCAACTGACAGATGTAGTCCATCAAGTCCTGGGGTGGGAAATACAGCCATCATTGCACACAGCGGAACGGGCCTTCCATAATCACAGCTTCAGTCGCTCGTGCTCTCATAACCCCCATATGTCTGCCACATAAAGTGGACACGCATGCTACACAATACGCTGCCTTCGCTGTTATGTAAACAGGCACTTTACAACGACTACGACACGTCAAACATTATTCCATTTGAGAGATTTATTTGACGCTCGCGACAACTACCATTGTGGCACATGATGAGCGCTTACATAAACCGGACGGGCAGTCTGAAAAACATTGGCCGTCGACACCACCCGAGTGGCGGGCCAAAGCGATAGCGCGTAGGTAACAACCAAGCTCTGCAGGCATTTTAACAGCAGCACTGACTGCCCTGAAAACCACTGATTTATATTATGCCATAAACGTTTTATACTGCGCAATAACAGCCACAAAGACAACAACGGACCAAAGATGTCCAACAACGGGGGACATTTGCAAGAGCACGATGCTTGTGTGTGCTATCGTCCCAATTTGATAATCGATCGTTTAGTGATCGCAATAATATCGCTACTGGGAACTAGAGAGTGCTACGAACTGTTACCTGGACTAAATTTAAAGCTGATAATGACTGCAATTGAATGAAGTAGCACTTTAATGGGAGTACTTGTCTCAAGAAGGGGGAAAACAACTGCTATTTACTTGTTAATCCATACAAGCCATTAAGTAGCCTCTGGACCTTATCAGCTGATTACAAAGAGAACATAAACGGTGCATTCAAGATATTCAACAACTGTGGCAACAACTGTTACTTTTTTCTCCAAACACAGGTGCTCCTTCTCCTTGTGGGCAACCCTCAGGCTGGCCTTCAGCTCCTGGAGCTCCCTGCGCATTTCGCTCAGCTGGACCTGCATATGCCATCGAGAACACGGGACAGGTCAGAGGATTCTCTCAAAGAGTGTAGCACCCCGTGCTCATTCCAAGTGACTCGAACTAGACTTGCCCAACTTGCATGAGGCGCTTGCGTGTGTACACGTTGTTGTTTTCATTGACATGAGATCTTTTGTTTCTGTGTGTCAGGCTCGGTGTTTTGGTTGGCTTGGTTTTAGTCAGAGTATGTTTGGTTTCATGCTATGTCCAATTATCATGTCATGTCTTCGTCTCCATCTGTTCTCATCAGGCCTGTTCTTACTGTCCACCAATCAGGTTTCGCCAGTCTCTGTCAGTCCATTGTTGTCGCTACAAGTCACATTTTCCCACTCACTTCATGTTTACGGTCCTGATGAGTCACTTCCTTGTTTTTATTTCCAAATTCGAATCATGTTTTTTTTTCTTTGTTAAATGGAGTATTTTATTTCCATGTGAATTGTTGGCCACTTTTTGTGATAAATAAACATTTTTGAGACTGCTCCTGCTCCCTCGTCTTGCCTCCCCTGCTTCCTTGCGCTTTTGGCTCAACACCGCCGCTCCATAAAGCACAAACTCCTGACATTTTTGTGTACAACTTTCTGCCTAAGGTTTTTTGATAAAGCAACATGGATGTTTGATATTTTTGTGAAAATTTGGCCAAAGACATCTTTAACCATTTTAGTCACAATACACACACTGATGCCTGACTGGCTGGAAATGTCCCTTTTGAATGTTATATGAAAAGGGATTTTGCTATGTGTATGCAGGATGAGACATTCAATAAATTTCATCCAGAGCCGATCCAACATTCAAAATTATTTTTCACATGCTTAGATGGCTGCCAGTGGATGGCAATCCGTCCAGGGTCAACCCTGCTTCTTGCCCAATGTCTCCTCAAACCATCTCCAGCTCACCCGCGATGCTACGTGTTAGAAGAATGTTATCTTCCTTTTATCTGCACTTGAAAACAAATGAGGTGATTTCAATAATTATTATCTTGGCAAGATTACACACAATTGTACTGCTTGTGTTGCTTTGTCTTGTAAAATAACACCGTTGTACGGAACCAGGGAAAAGAAAATGTTCAGGTGACAAATGTTGAGCGCTGACTGGGTGTTAATGACAGTGTTAGTTGACAAGATGATCCCTTTGTGGGCTTTCTCACCCTGTTGCAATCCTTTTCTCGACCGAGCTCCACCTCAAGCTTTACCCTCTCCGTCCTCTCCTCCTGGAGCTTTTCCTCAATTGTATGCATCTCGGCCGTAAGGTTCTCGAGATGCTCGTGCTCCTTCTGCCGGGCGACACACACCCGTTGGAACACTACACAAGAGAGAGACAAAAATACATTTGAAATGAGTGCCTCCACTGTACCTCTGACTTGTGCTGCAGACTTTGCTTTTCCTGAGCCCATTGAGCTCTGCCCTCTCTGAGAGCCAGACTGGAATCTGCAAGCTGCAGGGTTAGCTGGGCAGCTTGAAGGCGGGCCTGATGCAGCCCGGCCTGCCCACAATCTCTTTGGGCGACCGTTGCGCTGAGGTCGTTCTTCAGGACGTCCACGGCGCGCTCACTCACGTCCAGACGCTCCTGCAGGCTACTCATCTCCCTCAGCATTGCCTCGCTCCACGCCTGACAACAAAGACCAAAAAAAAACTCAATGTCTGTCGATCCATCTATCCATCCATCCATCTTCTGATCTTCTTAACCTCACAAGGGTCACGGGGCGTGCTGGAGCCGATCCCAGCTGTCTTCGGGCAGCAGGCAGGGGACACCCTGAACTGGTTGCCAGCCAATCGCAGGGCACACATAGACGAACAACCATCCGCGCTCACACTTAAACCTAGGGACAATTTAGAGTGTTCAATCAGCCTGCCATGCATGTTTTTGGAATGTGGGAGGAAACCAGAGTAACCAGAGAAAACCCACACAGGCACGGGGAGAACATGCAAACTCCACACGGAGAGTTGGAGGTGCAGGAATCGAATCCTGCACCTCTGCACTGTGAGGTAGACGCGCTAACCAGTCGACCACCGGGCCGCCCATGACTCAATGTTATGTTCAAAATTCTTGTTGTGCTTTTGACTAAAAGTTCACAATGAGATGTGTGGAATTTGGCCTAAATATATCAAATGTTTGCCAGTATAACAACAATGAAAATATAATATGGAGTGGGTCTTCCCATCCACTGCGTCTTGGAAAGACTTGCTACAAAATGTTGCCGTGTGTACCTCTTATCTAGTCTAACCCAAATGGGGTTGAGGTGAGTGTTCTGTAAAGGCCAGACAAATTATTCAACACCAAAATGATCCTCAGGCGTGGCTTTTAGGGCCTTGTATTTGTGCACTGGAGCAGTCATACTTGAGAGGTGCCTTTGGATTTGTCAATGTGATTTCCACAGACCTCTTTCCTGTGGGCTGCGGTGAGTTTCTGGGTGAGGGTGCTGATAGTGTTCTGGAGTTGTAGCACACTGGCGTCCCTCTGGGCCAGGGAGTTCCTCACGTCCTGGAATTCCTTGGACAAACTTCGAAGATCACCTTCCGTCTGTTCCTGCTTGGTCTAAATGCAGACCGTACATGTGAGAAAAACAAGAAAGACTCACACGAAACCTTGTCATCTTACAAGAGAGCACCTGCAGTATCTTTCTGTCAATCTGCTCTGCTTTCCACTGGGCCGCTGCCCTTTTCGCTCTTTCCTTTATCCTGCACACATTCAACGGGATGTACAGACTTGTGTAAAGAATCCTTTTTGTTTGTTTGTTTTTCCCACAAAAAAAGTACAAATAGTTACTCACCTTTCCAACTCTGTCTCTTGGTCCAGAGCTCTCTGTGTCAGAGTTTTGATGTGAGCTCTGCCCTCTCTGAGAGCCAGACTGGAATCTGCAAGCTGCAGGGTTAGCTGGGCAGCTTGAAGGCGGGCCTGATGCAGCCCGGCCTGCCCACAATCTCTTTGGGCGACCGTTGCGCTGAGGTCGTTCTTCAGGACGTCCACGGCGCGCTCACTCACGTCCAGACGCTCCTGCAGGCTACTCATCTCCCTCAGCATTGCCTCGCTCCACGCCTGACAACAAAGACCAAAAAAAAACTCAATGTCTGTCGATCCATCTATCCATCCATCCATCTTCTGATCTTCTTAACCTCACAAGGGTCACGGGGCGTGCTGGAGCCGATCCCAGCTGTCTTCGGGCAGCAGGCAGGGGACACCCTGAACTGGTTGCCAGCCAATCGCAGGGCACACATAGACGAACAACCATCCGCGCTCACACTTAAACCTAGGGACAATTTAGAGTGTTCAATCAGCCTGCCATGCATGTTTTTGGAATGTGGGAGGAAACCAGAGTAACCAGAGAAAACCCACACAGGCACGGGGAGAACATGCAAACTCCACACGGAGAGTTGGAGGTGCAGGAATCGAATCCTGCACCTCTGCACTGTGAGGTAGACGCGCTAACCAGTCGACCACCGGGCCGCCCATGACTCAATGTTATGTTCAAAATTCTTGTTGTGCTTTTGACTAAAAGTTCACAATGAGATGTGTGGAATTTGGCCTAAATATATCAAATGTTTGCCAGTATAACAACAATGAAAATATAATATGGAGTGGGTCTTCCCATCCACTGCGTCTTGGAAAGACTTGCTACAAAATGTTGCCGTGTGTACCTCTTATCTAGTCTAACCCAAATGGGGTTGAGGTGAGTGTTCTGTAAAGGCCAGACAAATTATTCAACACCAAAATGATCCTCAGGCGTGGCTTTTAGGGCCTTGTATTTGTGCACTGGAGCAGTCATACTTGAGAGGTGCCTTTGGATTTGTCAATGTGATTTCCACAGACCTCTTTCCTGTGGGCTGCGGTGAGTTTCTGGGTGAGGGTGCTGATAGTGTTCTGGAGTTGTAGCACACTGGCGTCCCTCTGGGCCAGGGAGTTCCTCACGTCCTGGAATTCCTTGGACAAACTTCGAAGATCACCTTCCGTCTGTTCCTGCTTGGTCTAAATGCAGACCGTACATGTGAGAAAAACAAGAAAGACTCACACGAAACCTTGTCATCTTACAAGAGAGCACCTGCAGTATCTTTCTGTCAATCTGCTCTGCTTTCCACTGGGCCGCTGCCCTTTTCGCTCTTTCCTTTATCCTGCACACATTCAACGGGATGTACAGACTTGTGTAAAGAATCCTTTTTGTTTGTTTGTTTTTCCCACAAAAAAAGTACAAATAGTTACTCACCTTTCCAACTCTGTCTCTTGGTCCAGAGCTCTCTGTGTCAGAGTTTTGATGTCCTCCTGCAATTGTTCAATTTGCAATTTGTTGGCCTCCCTCGCGTCCAAAAAAGCCCTTTTTTCTTGTGCAAGGCATTCCCCCAAAGCCATTTCCTCCTATGTGACCAAAGGCAATGTTACAAGGATATGTCTCTGTTCTCAACACATACTTACCTAAAATGTTATAAAATAAATTATATACATTTATACATATGTAACAGAGTGACACATGAAATTTATTAAATTATGACAAAAGTGACGGATTCATTTCTAATTTAATGACAATATTTCACTTTGTTTTTCCTGTTTCTACGGTGTGGTGTATTTAATTACTTCCCTGATTTGTCCCGAGTCCAAATTGCTTTTTGTATTGTTATTTAAGTTTTGTCGAATGGAAGTTTTTACTCATTGAGTTAATAGTGCTTTTCTGTTGCGCAGTTATTTCTGAGACCGAAATGCCCCGTGACTTCACCTATCCCTCCCGCCATACTGTGTTGCAGTAATAAAAAGAGAGAAAAGCCACATCCCAGTGTCTGATCTTATTGAAGCGGCAGCGACGTGGAGCTCAAGACCATCACAGTTGTGACTCCCGTCACATATATATATATATATATGTGTATGTTTATATGCATATGTATATATATGTGTGTATATATATATGTATATGTGTATGTATATGTATATGTGTATGTATATATATATGTGTATATATATATATATACATATAAACCAGGCAAACCATACTTAGTTTTGAACAAATGTAGCATTGTCACTTTAAAAGCAGCGCTGGATTAAAAACTTGTGGGAACATGTAGTATATATATATATTTCCATCCTACAGAGATCCTGCTATTTAGAGGTTAAATGCTCAGATGTGGTTTTATGTGGGCACCAAAAACAATATCCTCCTCAGAATATTTTTCCAGAGCGTGAGTTGTTAAACTATTTTTTAGGGCTGATGAAGTTTGCAGTGGTGTAGAGTTGCCGCCGATCAGACTAAAAGCTGTTCATTTTAATTCCGTCGAGTTGCCAAATTAGGTGACCCAAATACTGTCGGCAGCTGTCGGCGTGATACAGTGCCATCGTACACCACAGCAAAGCAGAAAGATAGGAAATAACAACATATTGTTCAGCTACTACCTTTCTGATTGAGTCAATCAAAATTAAGCCTTCTTCTTTTTAGCAAGGCACAATATTTGCTTGAGCTTTTGTCTGTGAATACACCTTGTGCTGTCTTGCCAGCTCCTCATTTTTTTCCTGGCTCCTCTTCAGTTCTTCATGCAGCCTGCTAATGTCGGAATGAAGCTCTCGGTGAAGTCTGCTCCAGGCAAGCCTCTCTCTGTTGAAGTCTTCCCTCTCTTTCTCCTTTTGCTTGTTGGCTACCTCTTGCATCTGCAGCAGGTCAGCATGCTCTCGTAAACATTCTTGCAGTCGGCTCTGATGAGAGAAAGGATAGAAATTGCATCTATTCTCCTGGCTACTCAGCTTTGTATTGGTAATTTTCATTCTCTACCTTCAGTAGTTCAGTCTGAGGTACGACGAGCAGAATATCTGTGCCTTCTTCCTCCCCATGTGGCTCCTCCTCAACAGTCACCAGATCCTCCAGGGGTTTCGGGGCGCAAAAGGTGAATTTAGAGCTTTGGGAGCAAACTTCCCCTTTGGCGTCAATGTACACAAATTCATACTCTTGGGCACTTGGGTTGGGAAGGTAAGATGCTACAAAGGGGTTGATAAAATAAAAAACATGTATGTTAGTTTACAAATAATGACCAACGCTGTCATCAGATTACTTGCAAAATCTATCGGTATTGACAATAAAATCTGTATTTAACTTTTTCAACGAATGATGCACAATCTGGAAGGACAATCTTACATATATTAATTTAACAACATCCAAATGCATGCTAAATGCGACAGCCGGGAGAGGCTCCAGCACAACTGCAACCCTCGAGAGGAAAAGCGGTTCGGGTAATGGATGGATGTTAAATGCTAACTGGCCTTTTTAGGTTTGCAATGGAGGTAACTATACAGCAGAGGCATCTTAGTTGAACATTTTTATTATGATGGCTACAGTGTGGTTCTGCAGCTGAAAGGAACGATCATACCGAGCATTTCTAAACGATCAAAATGAGCACTGTTATCCTTGTGACAGCATAATTTATGTTACCACTTATTAATTAGATTTCTTGTGGCTTCGTGAGTAATGACAGGTCATTTGGAAATCCTCAAAAACCTTCCATTTTAGATATGTTTCCCATAAAAAATATTTTATAAAAAAACAAAACAACAAAAACAGCTAGGTAAGACTGAAGCATGTTCTATATCATCGTCCAAATCGCATAATTGCCTAAGTCCTTTTTCAATATTTTGGGAAAATGAGAAAAAAAAACCCACAATTTTCAGAACACACATTGGTATATTTTTTTTACAGGGACAATTTTTCCTTTCGCTTGTTCACCCATTTGGTTGAAGTTTTTGTTATCCCCCCCAAAAAATGTAGAGATATCTATCAGTGGCGGATGCTGGTCTGTCAAGGAGGGGAAGCTCAATTTCGGCCTACATCATAAAATGTGTCTGTTTATTTATACGTGGATTCTACTCTCCATTCCTTTTCAAGAAAATTATCAGTGAGCCTGTCATACCAACAAGGCGTCTTTTCCAGGGACTTAACTAGTGTCCTGCAACTACAGCAACTACAATAAAACCCACCAGTAATAAAAGATTAATTCGTCGCTTATCGTTTTCAACAAAGAGAGTGTCGCTCAGATGATTAGAAGAAGTCTCCAGTTCAACTCAGAACAGAATGAGCATTGAAAATTGCTCCCACGATGCCTACACCAAAAGATCGGTGATTGGCTCATTTCGCTGTCAATCCAAAAGAGATTCAGGCTCAGACAGATCATCCAATCATCATGCAGAAAAGCTCAGCGTCCGGGCCAGCCCATAAATGCCCACTGTCCATAGACTCCCAGAGACGCTGAGAGTCCGATGGGCGGGACAAAACCAGCATTTATCCAATGAGTCATCTTGTTTCAATGCATTGGGACAACCTACACTGAACTCTCGAGACGGCCAGCGTCTGCGCTGTATCCGCTCGCTCGGCGTCCACACAGTTTAAAGCGCAGTGAAGCTGCTGGAACGAATGAGAAGAGAGTCGCGTCGTAACCAGTAATAAGAAGCTGATTCGGAACAAAAGTTGAGTGCATTGGAGTGCATATTTAGTCAATGACATGTACACACAATTGTATGTACACACATGTATTTGATCACTTATTTTTGGACATTTTAGGGGAAGCTGAGCTTCCCCCTTGCAGTCATAGAGCATATATATATATATTGTTTTCCAAAAATATTGAAAAAATGGCAATTACTCCAAAGTTAGGTGGCCGACAATATGTATATATACGTGTAATATATATGCTCACACAGAATCTGCTGTCAGTCACAGCTCACACACACACACACACACACACACACACACACACACACACACACACACACACACACACACACACACACACACACACACACACACACACACACACACACACACACACACACACACACACACCAAGCACCCAAAATGTTTCCAAGTAGTTTGGCACCAATACCGGTTTAGACCACTAGGGGCAGCAGATGAGTCAATACAGGGGAGCCAAAGGAGTAGGCCTCAATTATTTACTGTGTTGCTTTCTGGAAATCCTGACCTGGAAACCGGTCTAAATTGATCAAATATTGTCACTACCTTACTTTGATACAATAATTCATTGGAATAATGCAGAGAATAATCAGATCTAAAACTATTTGTTAGTGACAGCACTAATTCTCGCTAGCTATGGCACCACATGCTATACTGGCCGGAAGATCGCTCTTTGGCTGTCAGGCTTGCTCTGGATCATAACTAATCACATCAATTTAGAGTGACAGGATGTTTTATAACTATTAACTAACTACACTTAGCTAGCCAAAATTCCGCAGTGTGTATCTGTCTACGCTGATTTCAGGGTCACCTTCTTTCCCTGTATCTTATTCTTGTTGTCTTTCCTTCTTTTTTTTTTTTTTTTGCATCTCTTTCCTGATGTGCCAAGAGTCCTGCCTGCTTAAGTGCCTAAATACAAACCATAAAATAAGATAAACGAATATAACTCTGCAACACATTAATGGGGAACAATTTACGCAAATTCCCCTCAACAATGAACATGCAGCAACGAGAGGTGGATGGCAAAGCCGACAAGGAAATCAAGCAGCAACATTTATGAGCTGTATTATAATTCACTGCGACAACATGGGTCACATTTGGGGCATTTTTTTTTTTTAACTGCATCACTGATGAGAAACAACACACAATTCGTTTCTTCCCTTCTGCGACTCTTTCAGTGAAGACTACGAATGACGATCTGCTCAGGTTTGTGATGAATCTCTCCTGCATGCATGCATCATCTGCTGTACCTGTGCCCTTCACATTGAATCATGCTCATCAGCGGCCACTGACACCCTGCAGCCCGCTGCCCCACGCCGTTGTCTTGGCCACTGTCATTAATTCACCATCATGCCTGAAGAAAGGCATTCAACCAAGTGAATCATAACAACCCTGATTTTGCCACAGTCTGAAGTATTATAAAACTCCCCTGAAGGTTGATCAGTTAGAGTTCACCCTGTTCTCTATGTTGACAAAATTCGCATAGTAAAAAAAAATGCAACACCAAAGATATGGGTTGTTTTTAAAGGGCAACATAAAACCATCAAAGATGCAATGTAGTGCAGCAATTGCAAAAAACAAAATTGTATTTTAGTGATGCATGATCAGTGGCCTAATCACGATTATTGTCTAATACGAGACGTTTACAACAATATTAATGCTCATTTCATTTGTGACTGACAATGTATAATTCACACCGATGACAAAATTTTCAAGAACGAGTTTGCAAAGATGTGCTGCACCTTTCACAATAGCTCGGTCCACGTCAAGTGCCTCAAAACTGAAAATGAATGCAAAAGCTTTGAGACAGCGCTCACTTTGTGTCACAATCTCATGAGATAGTGCTTATTGACCGAATGAAGTGTCAGCTGAATTTATATTGTCATGGAGTGGAGTTGTTGTTTGCACAGCTGCATTTCTACCTCGGTGTAAGTAGCAGTTTTCAAATGCATCCATCCGTTCATCAGCTTCAAATTGTGGAATTTGATGGAGAGGAAACAAGTACCCTGGAATTGAACACAACAGTTGACCTCTGTTCGCTCTTCATAGTTGGCTGGGGCCAGTGCCCAAACAAACGTGTGGTAGTCCTTCACTGACGACCATCCCACCTGCACACAAAGGACTGGGTTGAAGCAGCATCCATACATTGTGTAGCATAGTGTGAATGTGTGGACAATACCTTAAAGAGGCCAATCCAGTCACTGCTGGCCCAGGTGTGCAACGAGCTGAGTGTGTAGTGGCAGTCCACTCTGCTCTGAGGGAAGTAGCTGCAGCCCACGTTACGGAACTCCACCGGTGCAGTGGTTTGCATGGTAACACAACTCAAAGGCACTTTGTTTTCACAAGGGGGCGGGATCACAGGGCAATGTTTTCAACAGAGGCTACACAGAACAAATCCAAACAGACAAGTGCAGTCAATGAGCTCAAGAAAGCAAGAGGTGCCAATTTGACACATGTGATTGACCGGTTGTGGAAGAAGATCCGCTCTCTCGCACATGCCAACCAAGGACAGCACAGCTAAAAATCTCCGTGACATCTTACATATTTGTTAGCCGGGCAATTTCGGTCAGCATTTCGGCTTGCAAGCCATTGTACACCGTTCCCACGTGTGGGAGTGCCACGAGGTGTCTGATTGAGCTCCCCAGCACGAGCCAACCAAAGGATCCATGTGCACGTCAGTCCTTCCTGTCTAAGGTTTTCCCATTCTGCTTCAAACTTTGAGAAGGACTCTTACTTTCCTCAACGTATTTTTCTTTTTCTAGACACTGCATGCCATGTTTTCCTCCCCTAGGTCACAAGATGGCATTTAAATATATAAATATAGAGGGGCAAATGGCTATTGAACTTCCCGTCGTTTGAACACAAACTAACAACATACCATTATGTAGGATATGTGGTGCACAACGTGAGCCAGGTGACGGATGTTTAAGTCGCAGCATGCATGCGAGGTTTCACGTTACACGGGAGGAAGGCTGGAGGCCCCACAAGAGGGCTCAACTTTGAAAGTGCTGCCTGCCTGCGAGTCCAAATATCACTAAAAACACACGTCGAGTTCGCAGAGCGTTCAATCGTCTTTGAAGAATGTTGCGTCTTGGGATGGATGTTAAGTTAGTTAACGTGTTGAACGTGATAACAACAAACGTCATCATGGACACTAAAGCGCATCTGCGCACTTAGTATGCCAACCGTCCTTTTGAACATCATCCTCACCTGTAACGGCATCCACTTGTCAATCTGGACCGTTTAATGTACACAATTACTACACGACCACGATCTGAGATGGCCAGTCGCGTCTCTTCTGCTCAGGCTCCGTTGCTCCACGACCCCCACAAACAATAACAAAAAGCAGCCCGAGCGTGACAGATTTCGTCTGCGTGTGAGGAATTGTGGTAGTTGTAGTTTACCGGCTCTCTCGGGCGGCGCTCTGTCTTCGCTTTTAGACTACAAATCCCACAGTCCACGTTGAGTTACTGAGGTCATGTGTGCGGCGTAATATGAAGCTTGTCACCGCCTTGCGCTGTTTTTCTCTGAGGAAGTCAACCTGGATGGTATGCAAGCCCTTTAAACGACAAAAAAAAAAAAAAAAAAACTTGCCATTGTTTGCTGTTATTCAGGAAATTGTGATCACGTAGATTTCTGGTGGAAACCACTGAAGATGTGAAAACTGTCATTCTTTTAATCTTTTACCACCGCACACCAATGTGTTCGCTGTAAAAAAAAAAAAAAAAAAAACTTAAGGTGCATTTGACCGTTGAGTAGGATGTTACATGTTGTTGTTTTCATTGAAATAGTTTTTTAAATGAATATAACAATTTAGAAAGGACCAATACTTTGAGCTCTCAATCAGGCATTCTTGAGAGATGCTGAAAAGCTTTGGACGCGGACGGTCGATTCACAACAGCTGCCGTGCATTATTTTGCTATACTGCTGCTGCACAACAGATGGCAGTATACCATTTAAAGGCCCAAATGCTTTATGGAAAGCGCTTTTACGCATGCACGGTCGCGCGCTCACGCGCACACACACACACACACACACACACACACACACACACACACACACACACACACACACACACAGTACATATATGCATGTACCTATACATATGTACATATATACACACTCATATATACAGATAGATAGATGCTCATTAAGAAATTAGAATATCATGAAAAAGTTTGACACATTTCAAATGTGAATTCATTTTAATTTAGATGCCTATATCTGAAAACTAATGAAAAACCCAAATTCACTATCTCAGAAAATTCGAGTAATACATAAGAATACACAAACAAAGGAGCGTGAGAAATGTTGGCCAACCGAAAAGTATAAACATGAAAAGTATGTTCATGTACAACACTCAAGGTGTAGTTGGAGCTCTTTCTGCTGAATTACTGACGCAATGCGACGTGGCATCAAGTCGATCAGTGTGTGGCACTGCTCAGGTGTTGTGAGAGCCCAGGTTGCTTTGACAGTGGCCGTCAGCTCTTCTGCATTGCTGGGTTTGGCGTATCGCATTTTCTTCTTCAGAATGCCCCTTAGATTTTCGATAGGGTTAAAGTCAGGCGAGTTTGCTGGCCAGTCAAGAACAGGAATACCATGGTCCTGACACCAGGTACTGATAGCTTTGGCACTATGTGCAGGCGCCAAGTTCTGTTTGTAAAATGAAATATGCATCTCCATAAAACTGGTAAGCAGCAGGAAGCATGAGGTGCTCAAACATTTCCTGGAAGATGGCTGCGTTGACCTTGGACTTCAGGAAACACAAAGGACCAACACCAGCAGATGACATAGCACCCCAAACCATGACTGACTGTGGAAATTTGACACTAGACCTCAAGCAATGTGGATTCTGTGACTCCCTTTGCTTCCTCCAGACTCTGGGACTCTGGTTTCCAAAGGAAATGCAACATTTGCTTTCATCAGAGAACATGACTTTGGACCACTCAGCAGCAGTACAGTCCTTTTCGTCTTTAGCCCAGGCTTCTGATCCTGTTTGTTGTTCAAGAGTGGCTTGACACAAGGAATGCGCCAGATGAAACCCAGGTCTCACAGACGAATTTCACTTTATTAAATTTAGATAGATAGAGATAGTGAATTTGGGTTTTTTGTTAGTTTTCAGATATAATCATCTCAATTAAAATGAATTCACACTTGAAATGTATCAATCTGTGTGGAAGAAATGTATGTATGACACAAGTTTCACTTTTTGAAAAGTATGACTGAAATATGTGAACTTTTTCATGATATTCAAATTTTTTGACAAGCACCTACCTATACACACACACACACACACACACGTACATACATATACCTTATATACATATATATACAGTGTATAAAACATCTATCTATCTGTAGATAGGTAGATAGATACATAGATAGATTAAGATAACCTTTATTTGTCCCACACTGGGGAAATTTGCAGTCTACAGAAGCAAAATTGGGGGGGGAGGGTAGAAAAGAAAAAAACAAAGTGTTGCATGCACAAAAAAAATTTTCAGAAAAAGAATTGTACACAGTATAGAATGCAATATATGCATATATGCATCTTATATAATACATACATCATCATACATAAGGTGGTTGTGCTATTTACAATGGTTACAGGTTTTCATGCATGTTTATTCAGCAGCCCGACAGCAGTTGGTAGGAACGAGCGGCGGTATCTCTCCTTCTTGCAGCGCGGGTGTAACAGTCTCTGGCTGAAGGAGGGTACCCAGTGCTGTCAGGGCGGGCTGGAGGGGGTGGGAGGGACTGTCCATCATAGCTTTTAGCT